ACCAAATAATCAATGTTCCATTGTCAGAGGTGATCTGGATGTTGACGTGGAGTGGAAATTCAAAACCGTAAATCGTTCGCATGTTTTTTTACTCATTTATTTCAGGGAATGATTAGACTAGGAAGGTGGATATCTTGGTTAGTCACTTTATTCTCATCCATGTTCCCCCCCTGGTGATAACGGCGAGCAAACGGACCCACAGTAGCGGCACACGCAAATCATTGTCTTGTGAAGATGGAGATCCAGCCTGACATGCGATGATGATTGGTCATCCCTGCTTGACAATCCACTCCATCGGCTTGACAATCGTATCCTCGCCACTTCATTTAGCCTCTGGGACAACGTGACACAGGAGTCTTGAATTGTGTGTCTGTGTCGTGCAAGCAAATGCGCCGCTGTCGTGAAATGTCAGTGGTTCACGTCTCCTGATTAACGCATACGCCATCCACGCTGACATCATGTGAAAACCGTCCACAGATTCCAGGTTCTTTTAAGCGGTCTTACTCCTCCTAACCCGTGTGTTTCAATGTGCCTTCAGCGTCACCCCTACAGATGCGCGCGTTGCATCACCGCGAGGACCTGCACGTGGCACAGGGCGAGGAGGTTGTGTTGTCGTGCGTCGTCACGGGACGGCCAGCTCCTCTCATCACCTGGTACGTGAACAGCACTCACCAGCTGGGACTGTGGGACGCTGTCGCCGGTCGAGGCGTTATCCACAAAAGCAGGTAAACATTTTGGGGGACGATTTTGCGGGAGGGGGTCAAAATTTACGAGATTACAACTCAGGGATACCGCAGGGAGTTTTAGTTGTCAATCTGTTTGCTTAATCTCCGGGGTTTCTAAGTCCACTTCCCTCGCCTTCGCTCGCTTCAAATTGCCTTCTATCCGCTCACTTGCATGATTTGATTTGGAAGAAGTGCCTACGAAAACGGACTGAGACAGAAGACGACTTTGTCGCAATCGTTCGTCGTATTCAGATGTCACAACCATGCAACCACTGACCACTGCATGTCCTTTTGTAACACAGCAAATGATGTGAGCAAGAAAGAGTCGCGGAACCTGAAAATGTCGTAATGAAGGTGTCGTGATATCGGTGAGGTAAGGAGTCACTTAGGAAGAGAAGTTGTGGAAGCCTCGGCATAGATTGTCCAACTCACATAGATTGTCCAGCTCACACCCCTTGATGGCAACTATTTAAACACCCATTGTTATCTTTGCATTGCCCAATTAATTTTCAAATTCTGGCTATCCGTCGGATTAAGTTCCACGGAATCCTACTCACTTCTATCTAAATATCAGGACTTATCACGTGGTTACAGATAAGTTCAATTGCCCACAACTACTGCAACCGTCGGAGATAATTTTTCCCTCCCTGCTCTCCATTGCCGACAACATTCATTCTGTAGCGGAACATTAATCATGCTTCCTGCGATCAGAATCAGCAGTGCATTCAAGATGAATACGTATGCGTCGATTTCGAGAAACGCTTAATCCTGCGCCATTTTTACGATTAGCAAAATCAGCAAAGCGTCAAGTTAACCCCCATTATCTTGTCTTCATTAGAAGGCGGCTGTCAACAGTTTTAAAGTCTCCTTTCAAGGCAGTTATTAGCACGGAAACGAATTCGTTCGCGTGTATGTGAAAGTTGGTAGATTAACCTCGGAGTCTGGTTTACTGTGCAACCTCTGGTCGATGTGAAGTGGCCACTTTTTTCTCAGACTTGGGTGCTTATTTCACTTAGATCCTTCAAGAGAGAGCTGAGTTGTTTAAGTTACGGGTTAACGAGCCTAACAGAGGCTAAAGAACAGCACAGGTTGTAAAACCGTGATCGAAAACTGAGTACAAGTCAAATTAATAGTCTTTGTCGACAGATACTGACGTACGACCTTCAAAGAACATCACTTCAGCAGTCAATTTGCCAATCAACTCGTAGTACGTCTTTGCTTTTAACTAAATTCGTTTTAAACACCCTAGATTTCACTGCTTGAAGGAGTTTATTAGCAAGTACAAAGTGGAAAGAATGCTTTTGTGAACAATATTGAATCGTAGAACACTGCTATTCTGCATGTTAGGTGGAAGTTGAATTATCTTACTGAGAAGTAGATGTGCAGACTCGTGGTCAAACACTTAAACACAGGAGCAATGAACAAATGAAATTCACGGACCATGAGCCAACATTATCAGCCAATAGTATTTCGCGTGCTAGCTCTGTTGACCTTGAAATTGCAGCGGTCATTTTAATCGCTCAAACACTTGACTTTTAAGCCACTAAGGGCGAAGAAGGGATACTTTTAGTGCACAACACAGAGAAGAAATTACCGCAACATTGTTTTGTATCATGTTTTTCAGACGAAACTCACGTCTACACCTCTCCAATATGCAACCAACTGACTCAGGCAACTACTCATGTCTAGCTGAAAACGTCAACGGTTACATTAAAAAGACTGTGCAGATTCGAGGTGAGTTCTAAACCCAGTCAGTAAAGTGTTTCTGCTCAACAGTTGACAACTTGACGCCCATTCACCTTCGAAATCCAGTACTTTGTTTCTATTTGTAATCTGAAATGACCTTGAATTGACCTTGGGGGACTATCCTTGGTCGGACTCTGGAAGAAGGTGATCATTACAACAGGGGATGTCTTACTGACTAAGCTTGAACCGTCCGTCAGACGCCGGCCGTCATGGAATGCCTCTCCTCCATTCTTGCGGCTGGAGAGAGGATTGGCTGAGCCCGGTGTGATTCAATATGTCCGCGCCCTGGTTTGAGGCTACACATTCTAGTGAATACTGATAACAAGGATAGTTTTAATAAGCAAGCACCTTAGGTAGATCAATTAGGTAATACAACAATATCTAAAGAGTGAGACTTTATAAAAAATTACCGACTTTGCACCTTGAAATGGAAACAAGACAAGAAGTTTTTAAATTTATTTTCAATTCCAGTAAAACCAAGGCCCCAGACCACACAACCGCCCTGGATTACAGCACCACCGGTAACCGGTGAGCTTACTACTTTCGTTTTCTTTTAAGTAGTATATGACTTCTATAAAATGTCCAATTTCACTCGAATTTCGGCAGACGTGGGAAAATAATTCACTTGTTTAAATTCACAGTAGCTCCAAAACTTGCTTAAGTATTGATTAAGTACACCAGTTAACAATTAATGCGGACCCCGTCACAATGGAACACATAGTTTTGATTGGGTCATTGCTTTAAATCGATGTGTTCAAATCAATTTTGTTACACTAATTAAATGCACCTAATTTAAACAAAAGCATGCATACTGAAATGATGTTGTATTGCAAGTCAGAATTGTGAAAATTCCAAATATCAGGGATTTAGGTTTTAGAAGGTTAGAAAACGCAGTATGTGCTTTCCACAAAATGTCGAAAACGGGAAATAATTCACTTGTTTAAATTCACAGTTCATCCCTGCTACCGATACTGCCTTCATGGCTACTGCAACCTCGTTGATGGGAGACCTTCGTGCAGGTAAGATCTTTTAACCAATTTCACGAGAATTCAATGAAGACCTTCCAGGTTCTGAAGTGTTTGCAGCCTCGCTGGTTTGAAACCACACCCTCTTTGTGGTTCTTCATCGAGACCTCTAAGTTAACCCAAGCAGTTTCTACGAGGACGAAATTGAAGAAAAAAAAGCTTTTAGAACTTCCAGTCGATTGGTGGCTAATTTTGACGCAATTTGATTACTGCGGGCGAAACCTCGCTGCATTTAAACAACAACAGCCTCACCATTAACAGGCAAACTTGCAATTTCCCCAAAACACAGCGGAAACTTATCAAAAATGTGTTTTTTTTACCAAGATGAGGCAATGGCATTTTGACAAGGGTTTATTTAACTGCTAACCACCCCGCCTATAAATAACTGGTTCGCTCATGAAGTTCTCTGCAAAACGATGGTATGAATTGTAAAAAAGGGATAACGAACAATAGTTTGTGTTCTAGTGCCCAGTACGTTAACCATGTGACTGACTTGTGCAGATGCAAATATTCAGCATTTAAAAAAGTGATTTGTTGCAGTTTGACCAATCACATTTCAGAAGGTACGTGCACACTTTTCATTGGATAACTGACTACGGAAATGGGGTTCATCAGACTTACATGAAGATGTAGGGTCACGTCAACGATGACGCATCACCGACGGATGTAACTAAACTCCATTATTTTGTTGAAAAGAATCTACTATCCAAATTTTCCAATCATCGGCTAACTCGTGCCCGACTAATGCGTGTGGACGGGCTGAGCCAATCAAAGTGCACCTATTGATCGTGGGGAGTTGATTCGCTGACGTAAAATTTAGACCAAATTTGTCAATAATTTCTTAAACTATTACTCAGTTTACTTGATTTGCACGGTACATCTTGCAAGTAAAAAAATGCAGATTTGGGTCGCAGTGTTGGTACAGTGACCATACCACTTTTAATGTTATGAGTAGGTGGTTCATGTACCCATTACTATTGATTAATGGTGATTTTCAAAGCCAGTAATTTACTTATCACAGTTTGAAACTGACGACATCAGACTTCACGTGGAAGTGAGTTAACTGGACTCGGAATTCCTTGGTGTCACGGTGGGCAGTTGTGCGGTCATGTACAGGGAAAAGGTGTGGGGGACTAGGAACTGCGCACATTCGCCACAAATAGAGCATTTTTGGATATGGTGAGGGACATAATCGATCACCCTCATTCTCAGGCAATTAAGCAAGGTTGACTCAACGATTTCCAGCCCGTTTCTGTGCCTCATAATTTGAAATACATCAGCACAATGAGAAATCCTGGATACCCATTCGTTTGCAGATTCGACAGATGACGCATAACCAAATAGATCGTGGGGAATAGGTACTAGTTTACGATGGCGAAGAAATTCCACAGTTTGTCCAGGGGAAATTGAAAAATGTGCCAAACCGTTCGTCACTTCAGTAAAACGAATGCGCGCGCCCACAAACTCGCAGAGCAAATGCACTTTTTGTGTTAACTGTTACGCTGTGTTTTCATCGCGAGTAGAAAGAAAGCTTCCTGGAAAAGTTTTTAGCGAAGTTCTTTTATCTGCAGTTTCCTTTCTTCTGGTTCATTAATAATCTACGTTTATAAATTGTATTATGCGTCATGCTACTTACATTGGAAAAGTAATATCGATTTTTAAGTTAGTAAATTTTAATCGAGGTTTTTTGTTCAGATGCAAACGTGGATATTTGGGTCGACGATGCGAGGTAACCACTGCTGCTGCTGCTGCTTGCATACTTAAAAATAAAGCGGACTCGCATGAAAGAGCATGTTTTCAAGGCGACTCACGAGTTCTACTGTTGTCGTACAAATGTAAGCTGCTTTTTTCATCTTCTAGCTGTACCTCCCAATATTATGGAGCTAGATGCGAACTCAGTGACAAATTTTCAGAGGAAACAAAAGCAATTCAAACAAATTGCACAACTGGTAAGTGGAAGTTAAAACAAAATAACTACTTATTGGTTATCAGTAATGGGTAATTTTACTCTTGTTCCACTTATAGGCTGTGACCAATTTTATGGGCGCCTCGTACTATTTTCTACCCTCGGAGGCCTCCTATCCCTCCTTCTCCTCCTTCTAATTGTTTGTTTGTGCGTGAAGAAGAAATCGTAAGTTGTTTAACCTCAGCATCAATGTAGGTTACTTTCGCAGATATGGTACTTAAACGCTACTTGTAAATTTATCAGTAGTGATAGTACAAGAGCTGCTTACACGCACTCATACATGATTGGTAAACGGGATTTAAAATCGCGTTTTCATTTTAGAAGAACTCGTCTATCAAATAATTCAACAAAAATAGATGAGGTGCAGGTTAGTTTACACTCTATTTTTGGCTGTTTGCTAAATTTGCGAATTAAAACCGGCTCATTTTTTCCAATCCGACTTACGTTCCTGCTTTTATTCATTTAGCAAATGTGGAATTTTTTTCCTTGGAACCTATTTAGACTACTGATTTCTTATCAGTAGCATTGTAATGTACTTAAGGATTCCCTTGCGCTTTTCCACTCTGCAGGCGCCTTCAGCGACTCCAATCCAACTTCCAAATCTACCGGAACACCCCGGTAATTTCCCACGCGCTCTCGCCACTCCTCAACTCCCCAACCCCTACACAGAAGCGCCCACGCTCGTTCCCTCCCCAATAACTGGCTTCCACGTCGTTTCCAGGCCCTTCCTAACCACGTCAAGTCCCCGTGCTGCT